CTGAGAGTGAATGATTCTTCCCACAAATGGTGGGCTGCTTCACAAAAGATCCCACTATGGACTTGACCGCACTATGTGAGGTCACATATCATGGAAGAATCCTGGCTCACCTACGCTGACATGAAACCTAAATATCACAAACAAGAGTATTTATGAATCAGTGGGGAAATGAGTGCATTTACTATAAGAGAAAGTCGTTCTTTTTCTCTGTTTAGTTAGAACACAGAAGAAAGAATGGTGTCCACACATAGTTCTCGGAGGATTGAAGCTCGGTAATTGGATGTTTGGGTCAATACTTGCTTTCAACTTATAATATTCTTTAAAATTCATGACTTGGGAAAGCTGTCTCCAAGACAGGATTAATCTGAGTTGTTCTCTGAAAGTTAAGTTTTGTTTCGGTTTGTTGTTGTTGTTATTTTTGTTTTGCTTTGCCTCACTCTTGGTACAAATGTAAGACCGGGAGCTGATGTTTTCAATCAATCCACTCAATGATAGTGCCCTCTCAGACGCGCCTCTTCTTTAAATGTGATGATAATGCGGGAGGATGAAAGGGGTAGTCCACCATGTTTTTCATCCGTTCCCGTAGACACGATTCTCCCAGTAATGTTCGCACTGTTTGCAGTGAGATGAAAACCAACCAACCAATCAACCAAGGAGAACCAGTCACAGCTGAATCGATTCGGGCTCATGGTGCTGCCCGGGACTGTGGACTAGAACTGCACTCTGTAGGGTTTTCTAGAACCAGAGCTTTCCGAAACAGACGCCCAGGGCTCGCCGCTGAAGGATCTTTGGGCAGATTGAAATCACCCACCTAATATCTGAGGGCTAAATTGTTTGTGTCGCGCAGGGTGCCCTGTGAATGGATGTGCACGGTATTTCTTGAAGAAAGACAACGCTCAGGCACATGTTTCCTCATTTGTGTTCGTATGGAGGAAAACTCATATGCTGGAACATGTTTGTTGCCAGACTTGGCTGCCTTCGTAGAAATCCACAAAAGTAAGGGGATTTCTGGGACTTTTCTACACATCTATGAGAAAAATCAATGACCTATCCTCTAACAAAACCTCGATGAGACCTGACTTTTAGCCAACTGAGACTAGGATTCCTCTTCTCTCTGACTTCCAATTCTAGAACTTTCTTTCGTGGTTTTATTCTGGACTGGTGCTATATATCCCCCAGCAAGGCAAACCTGGGAACAGGATTACAACTGAGTTTTTCATTTACCCCAATTTGACAACCAAAGGAATTCCTGACATTTGACGTCATACTGCTGTTTTCTTCCTGTTGTTAAAATTGACTTATTGTTGGTTGTTTTTGTCTCTGAAATACTTGGCTTTGAAATTTGTTTGGGTTTCAGATGCACAGCAACTGTTGTCATTTGTAAATGACAGATATAGACATATTTAATGGACATTATTTGGATTTCAAATGTATTCAGCTGTTTTACTTCATTCAGAAATAAAAACTTCTGATTGGTCTTCACTTGAAAAGTCGGGATCCTGTGTCTATTTAGAATTTGGAACTGTTTTTCTGAAGGTTAGGTGACATGTGTACTTTGGTCCCTGGCCTGGATAGATCCAGTCTGTATTAACAAAGGTGTCCTAAGTCCCCTAGGGTAGAGGTATGAGGGAGAAGTCCTGGGACTAATGGTTGGTATAGACTGAAAATTGTCTAGTTGTTGTGTGCTTTTTTAACCAGCCATCGAGTCCATGCTGACTCATAGCAACCCCCTGTGGGTTTCGAATCTCTAACTGTTTATGGGAGTAGAAAGCCCAGCCTTTCTCTTGAGGAGCTGCTGCTGGTTTCCACTCCCCTGCCCGTGAGGATCACAGCCTAACATGTAACCCCTACACCGCCAGGGCTTCTGTTTTAGGGCCAGCTATATACCAGTGAGGGAGAAAAAATGAGACTTTCAATCCTGTCAGTTACAGTCTTGGAAACCACGGGGCAGTTCTACCCTGTCCTATAGGGTCACTGTCAGAATCGATGAGGTGGCAGTAAGCTGATAGACCCATGCTAGTGGCTTTGCGGTCTTAAGCATTCTTCCCTCCCCTTCATTATTTTAATATGACATCATTGGCCATCTGGCTGGTTTGAAATGTGAAAGAGACTAATCCTGTGTGATAATGACTTTCAAGTGGAACATTAAATCTGCAGGGATATTCAAGGCTTTAACTTTTCTTGAAAGTGAGTTTTCTCTAGCCCAGGCTAACTATCCATTTATCCATCTGTAGGGAAGTCCGTCATTTTAATCATTTAGTACTGTTTTGCTCCTAGATGCATACATGAAAAATAAAAATGCTTTAGATGTACAGAATTTTCACTTTCAGCATACAAGTAATCATGCTTCATCCCCTGTTATTTTCCCCCTGAATTACAAGCACAGGGTGTTTGATTTAATAGACTCTAAGCGCATTTCTCTTAGAGAATCCAGAGATTGGGACCCTAAGTCACACTGATTAAATTTCATTCTGAGTCAACTGTTGGTGCTGTGCCTCTGAGCAGGAGGCTTGATTCTGAAAAGAGGGCGGAGCTTCACTGGGGGCCCTTCTGCACCAAGCATTCAGATGCCTTTGCAGGACATTCCCCTTCTCTCTGCAGCTCAAAGTGCATGCTTTGTGTCAGGACACCCTCGGTATAATTGGATATATTCCATTATTGATCCTCTGCTACATGCTTGGCCTAGAGCTTCGTCATGCCTCGCTGCATTTTTGACCTTAACACCTTTGCCCTGGGCTGAGTGAGGAAAAGAGTCTTAGGAGATGAAGTAGGAGAAGGGCTTTGGGTGTGATTCTGAGTATAGCACTAAGCTTTCCCCTCGTCCGTTCAGTTCATAAGTAGTGAGCACCTACTATGTGCCAAATGAGGGCAGTGAGGGCTCAGTGGTGGAAGTCACGCTTTCCATGGGGAAGACACTGGTTTGACTCCCAGCCAGTGCACCTCCGAGCACAACCCTCCCCTGTCTATTGTTAGTGGGAGGTTTTTGTGTGGCTGTCATGCTGAGTAAGTTTAAACAGAGCTTCCAAATTAAGACAGACTAGGAAGAAAGACCTGGTTTTCCACTGTCAAATATTTAGCCTGAAAATCCTGTGGATTGCATGAATCAGGTACCAACTAAAGGACAGCGGATAACAATACCATGTGCCAAACAATCTACACTGAATTTTCAAAGAAAACATTAGTGCCTGCTTCAAGAAATACCTTGAAGGGATTGAGCAGAGAAATGAAGTGACTGAGCTTAGGATTTACAAGAAAACTTAAGCTACAGAGGGAAACATCTCCTGCAGAGGGCTGATGGCTGCAGCATGGTGACCAGTTAGGAGGTCAATGAAGCAACTCAGGCAAGAGATGATGCTGTCTTGGATCAGAGTGATAGCACAGAGGAAAAGCCAGTGGCTGCATCTACTTTGAAGAAAATGCCAGTGGGATTTGCTGATGCGGATGCTGATGTGGAAATTGTCTTTCTTTCCAAGCTTTCATTTGAACTCAGGTCCCCCAGCATCCTCAACAGACGTTTTTTTAATTCTGTGAACATGCTCAATGTAACTGTGTTCAGTTCAGTGAATAATGCAGCTCCTTTTAAGCTCCTTTGGGCGGGGCTTATCAAAAGACAATGCCTGTCGATGCGAACAGAGGCTGGATAGAAATCCATCAGCTAGACTATGGTCCATGACCATCTCCCTTGAAGACCATGCACCTCAAACGCAGCCCTTGTGTGATGGTACTTGATGTCCCTGGCATGTTCATATCAGAGACAGTCAAAGTGAATGCCAGTTCTGCTGTATGGATCCCTGTGAGGAGGCAGGAGGATGGGGCCTCTTAATTAAATTTCAACTCCGCTTCATTCTTTTCTATAAGCATTGGGCTAACTGAGAGGTCGACCGTTCAAACCTACCTGCTGCTCTGCAGGAGAAAGGTGAGACCACCTGCTGCTGTAAAAAATGTACAGTCTCGGAAATCCTATTCCCTAAGGTGTGGGGAAATGGACTTCATAGCGATAGCTTTCTGTCTCTGTTATTTCTCAGAAATGACATCACTCACTGCCGTACAGTGGATTCCAATCATCAGGATCCTATAGGACAGAGTGGAACTGCTCCTGTGTTTCCAAGGCTGTAAGTCTTTACAGAGACACAAAGCCTCGTCTTGGTTCAGCGAAGTGACTGGCGGATGCAACTGCTAACCAGGGCTGGCAGCCCGACATGTCACCCACGTCTCCAACAGGACTGCCCAAAATGACACAATCAGGCTCAAACTGAAAATACATTTTAATTCTTGATCATCAAGGGGAACGTTTAATGTACTGTTTTAACCTTTTCTTTTTTCTTCATAATTTGGGAAACAGAACATCGTTAGAGTTAACTTTTCCAGAGTGACTTTGTCACTCAAAACTGGTTCTAATTCCAGAATATAAATGTGTATTTCCCCAGTCAGTGTAATTGCCAGCAAGTTGTTTATGCAGTAGCAAGTTGAATAAAACGTGTTACCTTCCTTCAATTCATGTTCACTGGCCTAAGTGAGCGACCACATATTCCCACGTAGGAGAGGAGACTGGCCAGGGGCAGTGATGGCGTTATTGAAGACAGCGTGGATGGCTAGGTAGACTTGTAGAAGTATGTTCGCATGTCATCTGGAAGTAGAGACAAACCATCGGGGTTCCGTTATCTTGGAGAACTCCTGTCTTTTGGACACAATGTAACATTCTACCACACTTGGTCACCATGTGGGTCCTGTTAGGTGGGATATCAACTTTAGGGTGTGATTAGAGGTGCTGCTTTCCCAGACTGTGGACAGAATTTATCCCAGTCCCTTCCTCCACTAACTTTACTCACAGATCAGCCCCTGAAACTGCTCCTTTGCCAGGTCACCTGCACACCGAACCAGGAAGCAATGAGGAGATCCTCTGACGCCCGCTTCCGGAAGACGGAGGAGGGACTCTGCCAGCTTCTTCTTATCCAAAGTCAACTGCAACATCACTGGTTTTATTGTATTTCTTTTCCTAGGACTGCGCCCAAAGAGGACCCTGCGCTTGGTGCTCTGGACTGGGGAGGAGCAAGGTGGCGTTGGTGCCTTCCAGTATTACCAGTTACACAAGGTGAGGCCATGGGGGGCTGAGCATGCGCATTTGTATCAACACTGTAAGTTTCAAGATTCCTCTTATTGTCTCATTTAATACCCATCGCAGTACTTTAAAGAAGGCTGACCCTGCCAACACACCCCTTGAGAAAGCCTCTTCACACAACATGATGAGGGAGAAGGTCCTGATGAATTGGGAGTGCTGTGGAGTGGGTCCATGACCTTGCCAATTTCTACATCAGGGTGGGAGGGGTTAGAAAACACCCAACTGTCATGCTGCTCTCTGCTTAATACATCTTTACTTGTGTTATGTACGTGTGTGCTGGAGAAGTCACAGTAGATATACATTCTCACATTTTCTCTCCACCAAACCCATTCCCGTACTCCAATGTCCCCAATTCTCCTGGTGGCCCCGGATTTTGAGAGCAGTCTTAAGGCCTTGCATTAGCTGGAGGATTGCCGTATCGCATTGGGAGGCATGGCGGTTGGGGATCACAGACCTGGGGCAGTGTGACTTGGCACTGGCTGACTAGACAAGCTTGAGGTGAAAAGGCACTGAGGGAGCGTGCTGATTGGAAATGCGAGATCATATTTTGGACTGGGGACAAGGAGGTTAATTATCAAGACCAACCTTTGAGTGAGATAAATAGACGGCTCAGAAGTACTCTGAATTAAATCAAATATTTGTCCAAGCGGGAATCTCAAATCAATGGCATTCAGAACAGGATCTAGTTGTTGCTATAGTTGTCGCTGATGTATTGCTTGTTGGTTTCCCTATATCTCCAGATAGATTGAACAGATCTTGCATATTTAAATTACCAAAATCAGAGTGGGGTGGGGGAATTAATTTGCTTTGTAGATTGTGTGTATATCAGTTTTACATAGAATGAACTTCTAATACCCTATTCTAGTAATTTAGGATTTGAGAGTAATGAGTGTTGGTAAAAATGTTTGATCACTGAGTGTAATCCTCTCCTATCTGGAGAAAAGTCTATTCCCGTTAGCCAGCGCTTTCACTACTTCGGTTCTTTACATCTCAAGGGATAGGGAAACCCAAGATGTGCGCCTTTTGTTAGCCGAGTCGGTCACATTGCCGTCTGTGGATCATGGTGGAGCGCACCAGAGAAGATTCAGCAACATCCCGTCAGTGTTCTCTGAGCACCTCCTAGATTCCATAATCAGTGTCAGACATTTGGTCTGACTCCATTAAGATCTTGACCTTATAGAGACTGGAACTTAATAGAAGAGACCAAACACTAAACTCCAATTACAATATAAAGTGTTAAGAGTTTCAATGGAGAAGTAATGAGGTATTGATTGCTCACACAAGGAAGTTCATCTTACCTGGTCTTGGGTGGCCAAGGGTGTCACAAGAAGCTATGTATGGAAAGGACATCTGAACTGAAATCTGAAGACTGAGTAGAAGTGAGGCAAAGAAGAGGAGTTGGCGGGGAGGAGTTGCGTATTCCTCCAGAGCACCCGGCATGTATAGAGCTTGGAGGAGGAGGGTACACAGCATAGACTGAGAAGTAATCACCTCCGCTTATTATCTTGAAGTAGAGACAAGTCACTGGGTTTGAGATATCTGCTTGGAGGCCTCCTGACTGCTTCTTCTGAACACAGTCTAATATCCCACCACGTTTGGTCCTCCATTGGTCCTTTAGGGCAGGATAGCAAGTCTAAAATTTCACTTGAAAGAATTTGAAAGTGGCTTTGCACAGATGTAAGATGCCAGTGGTGGGAGCATACAGCAGAGAGGTAAACCAGAGCCTCAATAAGAACTATAGATCATTGTTAGGCATCTGGACTTTATCCTAAAGGCAAGAGGAGTAACTGAATTATTTCATGATGGAACTTTCAGATTTGGAACTCTATAGAAAACACAATGTTAAAACAACTGTTCTTAAGTCCTTTATTCTCTATAACAAACTCTACTCTGAGGGTGGGGCATGGTGGAATGGATTTTAGCTATAATGGATCAGGCTTGAAACTTCATTGACTACTGACATCCCTTAGATCTGAGAAAAGAAAGTTTATATCATATTGATTTTATAGCAGGATAGCATGGATGCACTCAGACATGACTTGATTTTCAGCTTCTGAGAGATGGGTTTGCATATTCCTCTCCAAGGGACATGCAATCACACTGACAGAGATGTTTGCTCTCAATCGCATTCATGTTGCCTTCATACAAATGTGTCTAGAGTTTGATGACTGGCCTGTATTGCATTGTCAGGAATGGGAAAATAGGACGATTCTTCTTCTTTCTTTCTTTCTTCTTTTTAAAATAATTTTATTGGGGGCTCATATAATTCTTATCACAATCCATCCATCCATCCATTGTGTCAAGCACATTTGTCCATTTGTTGTCATCATCATTCTCAAAACATTTGGGGATTCTTCTTTTAGGATAGCTCATTTTCTTACCTTTAAGAAAGACATTCTGCATGCTTTACATTAGATAGCCAATTGTGAAGGACTTATTTTGGGTTTATGGAGTCAAAGATTATCATATTGATAGAAATATTATGAAGGGCATAATCATTCCTGAACTTAAAACTTAAGTGTAATAAAATAAGCAAGCCACGAGCCAGGAGCAATACATCAAGATTGCCTTTATACTTCTCAAAGGCATACTTTAATGACAGAAGACAGATATAATGTCCTGATCACTCTGTTCTGAATTAAGATAATGATAACTTCTGAAACAAATAATCCTTAAAATATCAATAGATGAACATAATGTGAGTTTACTTCGGGTCCATTTAACAACCAGTCAGCAGAAGGGCTATGAGCCACACAGTAAGTCAATGTGATCTAGGAGGAGAGACTCTTCAAAAACATGACCTTTAGTATCACCTTGAACATCATCGTTGAGATGAAGCTGCGGGGAGAGTGAAAGCTGAATGTGTGACATTTCTATGGGCCATTCTGGAAACGGGTCACGTGGCTTTTGCTCACATTCTATTGGCAACAACTCGTTTTCTCATCAGAACACGTGGGTTGTGTGATGCAGCCATGTTGCTTCATTAGAACCGTCGCTTCCTTTCTGTTACTGAGCCGGTTTCTACTTTGTGAACATACCACGACTTCTTTAACTAGTCTTCTGTTGATGGGCATTTGTATCGTTTCTCATATTCACTGCTATAAATAAAGCTAATGGGAACAATTTTATACAACTCTTTTGGTGGACATTTGCATTAAATACCTAGAAGTAAGAATACTGGGCCATATCCTAGGTGTCTGTTTAACTGTATTAAAAACTGCCAGTTTTCCGAAGTGGTTGGACCATTTTCTATGCTCACTAACAACATATGAGCGTCTTGGTTGCTCCTTACCCATGGTATCATGAATCTTTAAAAATTTTTATTCATTTTTGAGTCCTGTAGAATCAGAAGATGTCTTCTGCCTCCATATCTAATGCACTTCCACCCATTACAGCTTCCTTGTCTTGAGACTGCCTTCATTCTGTATTCTGCCTCATGATTTGAGGGAGGCTGGAGACCCTGATCTTGCATGAGGTTTGCGGGGCTGTTGATGGTTAGGATGATGCTATTTCCATGTGGAGGAACATGGCAGTCAAAACAGAGCACAGAAATGTAGTCTTGCCCACAAACTTTGCTGGCTCAATGGAGCATGGGTTTCAGATGGCAACCGAGGTCTGCTGGAGCCCAAAGAGGGGTGAAGGTAACAGTGATCCCCAAAAGGGCTAAGCAAAAACTCAATGTCATGGAGTTGATTCTGACTCAGAGCACCCCTATCGGGCAGGATAGAATTGTCCCTGAAGGTTTCCAAGATGGTAACTCTTTACGAGAGTAGAAAGTTTTGTCTCTCTCCTGAGGGGCTTCTGGCGATTTCAAACTGCTCACAGTTAGCCACCCGAAGCCTAACCACTACGCCAGCAGGGCTCCCTAAAAGGATTAAGGAAGGGAATTTTCTTGTGCCCAGACAGGGATAGAAGACAACAGGAAATGCCTTTGTGACCTCTTTCATTGACTTCATAAGATACCTTCTTTGTAAAACTACGACTGTCCACTTGCATTCGCTAAGAAGGAAATGTGCCACGCATAGAAGCCTGTTATTGAGCTCAGTGAGTTTGAAGAGTTTGTTTATGGGAGTGGAATTTAGCTTTGGAATGAAAAATGTTACAGATGATTTCATTGACTCTTCAAATCAGTGGACAGCACAGGGTTGTCCAGATGCCCCTGGCCTAATCTGCTTTTCATGGGAACAGTGTTCCTGTTTTTCTCTACTCTTGGAAGGAGAGCGGGATGTCATTTCTCATGTCATGAAATGCACAAAGAAGACAGCGGATGGGAGGCCAGGGGAGCGGGGTGAATGGCATAGTTTCAACTGCATTGCTGGCTTTGAAAAAAAATCTTTTCCATTTTAAGCAAAAATATGATCTAGCCTAATTATAATGGGTAAGATAATCTGGCCTCAAGAAAGCCTCATTACCCAAGATAATCAAATAAAGTAGATTGATATGTTCTATTCTGGCATGAACAATATTTTAACCTTTTCCTGATTTATTGCACAAACTTCTGGCAATTGAATTACAAGGATTATGAACACTGGTGTGTCCTGTGAGTCATTAATAAGGGTAATATTTTAAATAGGCTTGATTAAATGACGGATGGGATGCAGGAGCATTCTAAATGGACCAGTTTATCCAAATGCGAGCTAACTCCTAACACACGAAAAGGAAATGCATATGTGGGCTGTCTTGTCCGGATTTCCTCTGCTGCCCCTGGAGGAATACTACGTTCTCCTGACTTAGATACCAAGCAACCCTGCTCACCTCTGTTTCAGCTGCCAGTCCTTTCCAACTTCCTAAGCCACATTCAATTGCTGGCTTCACTCACAATGTCTTAGAAATGCTTCTTTATATCTGGAGAAATTGGCATTTCTTTGGCATTTTGAATTTCCCAACCCTATTGCCTCCACGTGGGGGTGATTTAGCGCAGGCGCCATTGCTAGCGTGAAAACAGTTGTGCCGGTGTGCCGCTCCAGTGGTTA